CCAGGCTCATCAGATCTCGGATGCTGAGCAGGGCTGGCCCCGGATAGTATTCAGATGGGAGACCACCAAGGAATACCGGGGTCTCTGCATGGAGGCAGGCAGTGAACGTCTCTTGCCTCGAAAACCCCTTGAAGGGTCACCGTAAGTCATAGGATCATAGAACGTTAGAGGTGGAACTGGGACCTTGCAGGTCTTCTAGTCCAACCCCCTGCACTCTGCAGGAGCACAGCCAAAAGAGAGCCCTACATACCTACAACATACCCGAAAGACGGTCGTCCAGCCTCTGCTTGAAAACGTCCAGTGAAGGAGCATCCACCACCTCCTGAGGCAGAGTGTCCCACTGCCCAACCACCCTGACAGTTAGGAAGTTTCTCCTGGTATTGAGCTGGTAACGACTCCCTTGTCATTTCCACCCATTAGATCTGGCCTTGCAATCCGGAGCAAGAGAGAATAGATCCGCTCCGTCTTCTACATGACAGCCCTTCAGATACTTGAAGACTGCAATCCTGTCCTCTCTAAGCCTTCTCTTTCCCAGGCTAAACAGACCCAACTCTTTCAGCCTTTCCTTGTTAAGACTTGGATTCCAACCCTCTCACCATCCTGGTTGCCCTCTTCTGGACACGCTCGAGCTTGTCAACGTCCTTCCTAAAATGTGGTGCCCAAAACTGGACACAGGACTCCAGGTGGGGCCTGACCATAGCAGAATAGAGCGGAATGACCACCTCCCATGATCTGGGCACAGCGCTTCTGTGAATGCATCCTAAGATGCATTTTATTCTCTGGTCACTCCCCTTCTTGAACTTAGTGTTGGGGATGCTGCACAGCATCAGGCTTTTCCTTCCCACCCCCGATGTCTTCAGTCTTGAAGAAGAAGAAGAAGAAGAGATTGGATTTATATCCCGCCCTTCACTTGGAGTCTCAGAGCGGCTTACAAACTCCTTTCCCTTCCCCTCCCCACAACAGACACCCTGTGAGGTGGGTGGGGCTGAGAGAGCTCGGACAGAAACTGCTCTTTTTCAAGGACAGCTGTGCCAGGCTTGTGACTGATCCAAGGTCACATCAGCAGGTGCAAGTGGAGGAGTCGGGAATCAAACCCGGTACTCCCAGATTAGAGTCCGCGCACTTAACCACTACACCAAACTGGCTCTCTAGCTGGCTTTTAAGTCTTCATGTGCGACTGGATGGCACTTCCCAGCACCACCATGGCTTTGCCAGAACACTGTGGGCCCTGCCACGACACCAGTCCAAAAGTCCTAGAAGGGAAGGGATAATGTGGACGTAAAGCTGCGTTCTGAATGCGCGAAGCTGCCTTTGACTGCATCAGACCCTCGGTCCACCAAGGCCAGTACGAGCTCCTTGGACAGGCAGCGGCTCCACAGGGTCTCGGGCAGAGCAAGGCCTTCCCCATCGCCTCTGACCGGATCCTTCCACTGGAGTGGCCGCCAGGGGCTGGACCCGGGCCCCGCCCACTCCTTCCCCTCTCCCAGGCCCATCGTGCCGGCATGGGAACCAGCTCCCACACTGTGCGGGTCATGCAGGAATTGGGCACGACAGACACCTGACCGAGTGACTGGTCTCAGGAGCTCTCTGGACCGTTTTGGTGCTGGTAGTGGGCTGCACCAAGTGTGTGTGTGGGGGGTGCCACTTAAAAGTGGAAGCTGAAAAATGGCCTTTCGAGACGTGGCCTAGGAGGGAGTTCAACATCAGACATCTCTCTCAACACGTTCTGGCCAGACACCCCTCCTTGAAAAGCACCACCTGTACATCCTACTGGTCTGTGACAAAGGGGGCTTCCACTCTAAGGTGCTCCTGGACTCGAATCTAGGAGGAGTTTGGATTCAGAGCGGCTTACAAACTCCTTTCCCTTCCCCTCCCCACAACAGACACCCTGTGAGGTCGGTGGGGTTGAGAGAGCTCTGACAGAAACGGCTCTTTTTCAAGGACAGCTCTTATCAGAACTACAGCTTGCCCAAGGTCATCCAGCAGGTGCAAGTGGAGGAGTGGGGAATGAAACCCGGTTCTCCCAGATTAGAGTCCGCCCCCTTAACCACGACACCAAACCGGAGGAGTTTGGATTCATACCCAGCCCTTCACTACCCGAAGGAGTCTCAGAGCGGCTCACAAACCCCTTTCCCTTCCCCTCCCCACGACAGACACCCTGGGAGGTAGGTGGGGCTGAGAGAGCTCTTTCGAGAACTGCCCTTGAAAGAACAGCTCTGAGAGAACTCGTGACTGGCCCGAGGCCACGCCAGCAGCTGGCAGTGGAGGAGTGGGGAATCAAACCCGGTTCTCCCAGAGTCCCTGCTCCTAACCACTACACCAATCCAGCCCCCCCCCCCCCTTTAACACAAGCCGCTCAGGACTGACGGTTGAGATCTCAAGTGCACAATGGAAAGGACCCCTAAGAAACAGAAGGGTTTTCATGGGAAGTGAAGGGAGGTGGGGAGCGACAGGCAGAGCTGTGCCCCCCCCCCCCCCCCCCAACTTTGCTTCCTCCGGCCACCCGCTTTGCAGTTCCTGGGTTAACGACGGAGACAACAGCGGTCCTGTTCTGCTGTGCCACTGGCAGCTTCCCCGGCGACGTGTTTTTCGCAGAGATAAGGCAGGGAAGCTGCCGGCATGCAAATCTCCCTCAACGAGCCCCGCTGGCTGCTCCGTGGCGCTGGCCGTCATTAACCAGCGGAAGGGAGCAGAGGGAAGCCAGGGCAGGGGCAGATTCTCCCCACCCCAGCGGGGCACACCTGGAAGCGGCAAGCGGAGGAACCATCCTGCCAGCGAGGAGGAAAGAGGAGAGGGGAAGGCTGTGGCGCCGTCAGCACCTTCGGAGGAGGAGAAGAAACTGGATCTATACCCCATGGCCCTTCACTACCAGAAGGAGTCTCAGAGCGGCTGACAAACTCCCTTCCCTTCCCTTCCCCCACAACAGACACCCTGTGGGGTAGGCGGGGCGGAGAGAGCTCTGACAGAAACGGCTCTTTTTCAAGGACAGCTCTTATCAGAACTATGGCTTGCCCAAGGTCATCCAGCAGCTGCAAGTGGAGGAAGAAGAAAAGTGATTGGATTTATACCCCGCCCTTCACTTGGAGTCTCAGAGTGGCTTTCAGACTCCTTTTCCCTTCCCCTCCCCACAACAGACGCCCTGTGAGGTGGGTGGGGCTGAGAGAGCTCTGACAGAAACTGCTCTTTTTCAAGGACAGCTCTTGTCAGAACTACGGCTTGCCCAAGGTCATCCAGCCAGGTGCAAGTGGAGGAGGAGGAGGAGAAGAAGAGGAGAAGATGTTGGATTTATACCCTGCCCTTCACTACCCAAAGGTGTCTCAGAGCGGTTTACAAACTCCTTTCCCTCCCCCTCCCCACAACAGACACCCCGTGAGGTAGGTGGGGCTGAGAGAGCTCTTGACAGAAACTGCTCTTTTTCAAGGACAGCTCTTGTCAGAACTATGGCTTGCCCAAGGTCATTCAGCCAGGTGCAAGTGGAGGAGTGGGGGAATCAAACCCAGTTCTCCCAGATTAGAGTCCGCGCACTGAACCACCGCACCAAGCTCAGAGTCTCCCGCTGGGTTAGGGAGACCGAGGCCCCGAGAGACGCTCGCATGCTGGCTGGAGAGGAGGCGGGTGTGGCCGCGAGGCACGTAGGGGTGCCAACTCTGCCTGGAACAAGGTCGTTTGCACCCCCCCCTTCCTGCAGGAGGAGAGGCGGCTGTTCCTCGTGCAGGCTGGAGAGGGCAGGTTCCGTCTCTCCCCGTCCGCTGCTGTGTGGGGCCAGGCCCCCGGCCTCACTCAATCGGCCCTCCCTTGCGTCAGCTGCCCCTTGTTTTGTGACCGGGAATTGCTTGTATCCACCGGGACAAAAATAGCAGAGGCTGGAGTGGGGAGGGGGATACTACCGGGAGGAGAGAAAGGACAGGGGCCCATCGGGGTGTTGCATCTCAGGACCCCTCAACGGCGCAGCTGTAGTCGCGGAGTGGGGGAGGCGGCGGAGCAGGCCTCGGGGGGTTATCAGGAAAAGAAGAAGAAGAGATTGGATTTATACCCCGCCCTTCACTACGCAATCTCAGAGCGGCTCACAAACCCCTTCCCCTCCCCACAACAGACACCCTGGGAGGCAGGTGGGGCTGAGAGAGCTCTTGACAGAAACGGCTCTTTTTTCAAGGACAGCTCTTATCAGAACTACGGCTTGCCCAAGGTCATCCGGCAGCTGCACGTGGAGGAGTGGGGAATCAAACCCGGTTCTCCCCGATTAAACCACTACACCAAACTGGCCGCTGGGGATTCTGCCCTAGGCAGAGAAACGGCCTCCCTGTTCCTGCTGGGTCAGGTTGCCAGGGCTGTGATGGGTGGGGCCTGGGGATCTCCCACTTTTACACCTGACCTCCAGCTGACAGAGATCAGCTCCCCTGGAGAAAATGGCTGCTTTGAAGGGGGGACTCTATGGCATTGTACCCTGCCGAGGCCCCTCCCCAAACCCCGCCCTCTCCCGGATCCACCCCCAAAGTCTCCAGGTATCTTCCAACCCAGACATGGCGATCCTAAATGCCCGGGTGCCTGCTAACCCCTTCGCTTACGATCGGCTACTGCGGATCTGATTGGCTGCCTGGACTTTTCACGGTGTCGCTTTGGCGGCAGCTTCCACCACTCCAGAGATCTCCCCTGTGTGACTGGAGGCCCTCTGCGGCAGCCGCTTTGCGCTTGGCCTCGCCTCCCGTGGCAGCCATTTTGAGGCTGCGCCCACCACCCCGTGTCAGGACTATAAAGCTGCCGGCAGGCACAAAAAGGCTGGGGTCCCCCCCTCCACCCACTTTAAGTGGTCTGTAGTGGCCCCCTCACCCTTCTCAGCTCGGGAGCACTTTCGGGGGAGTCGGGAGGACTCTCGGTTACGAGCCGAGACCTAAAGCCGGGCCTCCGATTCCAGCAGACAGGCCTGTGTTTGCCCAGCAGAGAATCAGCCGCAAGACATCTCTTTCTTTCTTTCTTTAAAAAAAACAAGAACTTTAATATCTCAAGAAGACCAGAGAGGCTCCGTTTCTTCAGCAAGTCCCTTCACGGGTCACGGACGGCGGAGTTCACGGATGCGGCCGAGGGCCAGGCCACCGCCCCCCCCCTGCGGGGTCCTCAGAAGTTCTCCAGCAGCTCCGCAATCCGCTTCTGCTCGCTCTCCTGGAATTCCGGGTTCTTCCCGTCTCCGATGTTCTCCGCGTACTCTGCAGGAAGGAGAGAAGACCCTCAGCGAGGGGCGCATGCAGCACCAGAGGCCCCTTTGCTGCTACAACAGCCAACGCTCTCAAGAGAAGCCCAGCGGAGAGGCCTCGCCTCGCCAGGGTCACCAACAACCACTCTGGCACTGCCCGGCCCGCTCTATGTTTCGCCTGCTCCCTCCTTCTTGGGAGTCAGCAGAAGAGGAGGAGGAGAAGAAGAAGAGGAAGAGGCGGCTTCTATCCTTGGCTTTTCTCTCCCTCATGGAGTCTTACAATCGCCTTCCCTTCCTCTCCCCACAACAGGCCCCTTGTGAGGCAGGTGGGGCTGAAAGAGCTCTGGGAGAACTGGGACTGGCCCAAGGTCACCCAGCGGGCTGCATGGGGAGGAGGAGTGGGGAATCCAACCTTCTGCTCCAGATCAGAGCCCCCCATTCTTAACCACTGCAACACACTGGCAGCAACCCGATCGAGGGTCCAGCCACTGGGAAGACCCACTCCATTCTCGGTGCCCCCCCCACCCCCCCACCCAATTGAACCACTCGCTGAAAGAGCTGGGTCTGTTTAGCCTGGGAAAGAGAAGGTTTAGAGGGGACAGGATTGCAGTCTGCAAGTATCTGAAGGGCTGTCATGTGGAAGATGGAGCAGATCTACTCTCTCTTGCTCCGGACTGCAAGACCAGATCAAACGGGTGGAAATTGCGAGGGAGTCGTTACCGGCTAAATATCAGGAGAGACTTCCTAACTGTCAGAGTGGTTGAGCAGTGGAACAGCCTGCCTCGGGAGGTAGTGGATGCTCCTTCGCTGGATGTTTTCAAGCGGAGGCTGGACGACCCTCTTCCGGGTCTGTTGCAGGGTTCTCTTTCGGATAGGCTCCTGCAGAGTGCAGCAGGGGGTTGGACTAGATGACCTGCAAGGTCCCTTCCAACTCTAACATTCTATGATTCTATGTCCACCTGGCAGGCTTCACCAATGCATTTCCCCAGCTGACCCGGGACCGGCAGCAGACCTCTCTCCGCTCTGTGAGTGGAACAAGAGTGCCACTCGCACCACAAGGTCGGGAGTTCATGTTAACATTTACGGGACCTGCACTGAGAGGCGCACTGGATCCATTCCTACGAGGCTGGTGGACGGGGAAGGTTTCCCCCTCTCCCGCACGGACAAACAAAGCCCGGAATGAGTTGTCTGCCGGCACTCTCGGGAGGAGGAGAGCCCTGAATATTTATGAGGTCCGAGGCGAACTGCCGCAATATGGGGGGGGGGGGGCCCTGGGCCCGCCGGGTCGGCATGACTAAACGCCGAGGCGCATGGAACGCTGTTACCTTCCCACTTAAGTGTTACCTATTTGACTACTTGCAATTCCTTGCTTTCAAACTGATAGGTTGGCAGGAGCTGGAACTAGAGACGGGAGCTCACTCTGTCACGCGGCACTCGGGTCTCGAACTTCCGGTCTGCAGCTCAGCATCTTAACCTCTGAGCCACCAAAGTACCATTGCCTTGTTTTCTTTAGTAATGTTTCTTTTGAAACTTAAGCAGAGAGTGGCTCTTGCCCTTTGGATCCCAGCCCCCATTTAAAACAAAGGGCTTCTACTGCCTGCAAATGCACTCTGCTAAGTTTGAGACGGGACACTGGACTAACTAACCAGTTACTCCCAACACGTCACACCCACCAGTTTCTACAGCATGAGAGGCAGCCCCCACTCCAAGGAAAGATCCCACGTGGTGCTGCTCCATGCCCCTCACGTGAAGAGGAGGAGGAGGAGGAGGAGACTGGATTTATACCCCGCCCTTCACTCGGAGCTTCAGAGCGGCTTACAGTCTCCTTCCCCTCCCCACAACAGACACCCTGTGAGGCGGGTGGGGCTGAGAGAGCTCTGAGAGAAACGGCTCTTTTTCAAGGACAGCCCTGACAGAACTATGGCTTGCCCAAGGTCATCCAGCAGCTGCAAGTGGAGGAGGAGGAAGAGGAAGAAGAAGAAGAGATTGGCTTTATACCCCACCCTTCACTACCCAAAGGTGTCTCAGAGCGGCTTACAAACCCCTTCCCCTTCCCACAACAGGCACCCTGTGAGGTAGGTGGGGCTGAGAGAGCTCTGACAGAAACTGCTCTTTTTCAAGAACAGCTCTGACAGAACTACGGCTTGCCCAAGGTCATCCAGCCAGGTGCAAGTGGAGGAGGAGGAAGAAGAAGACAAAGAAGAAGAAGAGGAGGAGATTGGATTTATACCCAATGGCCCTTCACTACCCAAAGGAGTCTCAGAGCAGCTTACAAGCTCCTTCCCCTTCCCCTCCCCACAACAGAAACCCTGTGAGGTCGGTGGGTCTGAGAGAGCTCTTGACTGAAACTGCTCTTTTTCAAGGACAGCTCTTGTCAGAACTACGGCTCGCCCAAGGTCATCCAGCAGGTGCAAGTGGAGGAGGAGTGGGGGACTCAAACCCGGTTCTCCCAGATTAGAGTCCGCGCACTTAACCACGACACCAAACCGGCTCTCTGTGGGGGGCAGGATGCTTGTGCACCCACCGAGGTGGGACAGCAAAGCAGAGACTTTCCCGGGCACTATCAGCCAAGTGCAGGGTGGCTGCTTCTGTCGCGGCCTCCTCCACTAACCGTGCCCGCAAGTTGCTGGAAAGATCTGCCTCCCCCCCCCCCGTGGCACCAGGGAAAAGAATAAGAGTGGCAAAGCTCTCCCCCCCTCCCTCCAAACCCGCTGTCAAAATGTCACTCGCGGGCAAGGGAGCCCTGCAGGAACAGGCAGGCAGGCAAATGGCTTTCAACCGGCAGCCAAGAGGTCGGGCGAGAAATTCGGCTGTTGAAAGTCTTGCTGATGCGGAGAATGGGGGGGGGGAGGATGGGCACCCCTCCCCACAGCAAGGCGAGAGCCAGGCTGACAGCAGCAGAGCGGCCCTCCTTCCCCCTGGCCAGCGAAGCGCTGATCCTGGCCAGGGGTGGAGACGGCTCATGTTCGGCCCCCTCCCCCCTTTTCCTACAGTAACCTGGCCGAGGCTGGACCCCCCCCCCTGGAGTTTCCTGGCAGAGAGGGCTGCTCAGGACATTCCCCCACCCAAGCAATCTGTCCAAACACAGGGCTCAGAGGCAGGATCCAGAATGAATCACAGAATGTTAGAGTTGGAAGGGACCTTACAAGGACATCTAGTCCAACCCCCAGCACTCTGCAGGAGCATAGCTGAAAGAGAGCCCTACAACCTCCGCTTGAAAACATCCAGCGAAGGAGCCTCCACCCCCTCCCGAGGCAGACTGTTCCACTGCTCAACCACTCTTACCGTTAGGAAGTTTCTCCTGATATTGAGCCGGTAACGACCCCCTTGTAATTCCCACCCATTAGATCTAGTCTTATTTATTTATTTGATTTATATTTGAATTTATATCCCGCTCTACCCCGAAGGCTCATAGTCTTGCCATCCGGAGCAAGAGAGAATATTTCTGCTCCATCTGCTACAGGACAGCCCTTCAGATACTTGAAGACTGCAATCCTGTCCCCTCTAAGCCTTCTCTTTCCCAGGCTAAACAGACCCAACTCTTTCAGCCTTTCCTCCTATAAGACTTGGATTCCAACCCTCTCACCATCCTGGTTGCCCTCTTCTGGACACGCTCGAGCTTGTCAGCATCCTTCCTAAAATGTGGTGCCCAAAACTGGAACACAGGACTCCAGGTGAGGCCTCTTACCCCTCAACAGGACGGCACCGTGCCCCAGGCAGAGAGCGAAAGGACAGTGCAAGTGAAATCATTCAGACGGCTCAAGAAAGTGAGCCCAGCCATGGCGGCAACCGCCAAAACAAGGCTGGAGGTCCCAGTAAATCGCACCCCAGGAAACAACCCCTCCATGGGAACTGGAGACTGCCGCTTAACAGCCCCATATGCAGCTGAGCCTGATCTTGGCTCTTCCATGAGACTGGCAGAAAAAACCCTACAATGTTGGGGGAAGGAGCCCTGTGCTAAGTGCAGTGGGACGTCCCCCCGCGGGTGGCCAGTGGTGGGAGATATGGGGGGGGCAGGGTTGCCAGATCCAGGCTGGGAAACTCCTGGAGTTTTGGGGATGGAGCCTGGGGAGGGCGGGGACCCCCACCAAAAGCAATCCATTTTCTCCAAGGGAACAGCTCCCTGCAGTCTGGAGCAGTGTTCCCTCTAAGCTGAGTGAGTGTGAGCCGGCTCACCGTTTTCTAGCCTCCGGCTCAGACATCTTTGTCCCCACTTAGGAAGGAGGGCTTCAGAGCAAACTAATTCATGCAGCAGCCAGACATGCTCGCTCACAACTTTAATGCCAGTAGCTCACACAGTGGAATTTTTGCTCACAAGACTCCACAGCTTAGAGGGAGCATTGGTCTGGAGATGGGCTGTGATTCCAGGATATCCCCAGGTCCCGCCTGGAGGGTGGCATCCCTATCCCTCCAGCATGACCCCCCCTTTCCTCCCCCCCAACCCCCCAAAATGCCTC